ATCAACGTGTCACCAAAAAAACATGATCTACTGGGTATCAAGCATGTACATGACCCATCAACAAAGTTTGGCAGACCTGACATGCAAATGTTTGCACTCAAAGTCCAACACAATTGACAGATAGTGTTTCATCAACTTTGAAAAGGTTGGGTTTCGCTGAGTACAGTGTTCTAACTAGGATTTTTCCTTGGTTGTGTGTGGTTTTTGAAAACAAAGCAAAAACGACGAACAACAACCAAAAAAATAAGTGCACAATCCACCTTTTCAGTTATGTGAGCCAAGATGGTGACCAAAATCCTACTGAAGGAGCTACGTTTAACATGTGGAACCAACAGAAATTAAACTGGTTGAAGACAATAAAATAGTACTTTACATACACTGTTTTCATTTTATTACTGTACTTATTTCCAAGCAGAAAAACACTGAAGTTTTTGATTGCCAATTGAAAATTGGTGACTTCATCCATTTTGCTTGTGCCATGTGATCTGAACTTGTGCACCATCAATGGGGCATTTATCTAAATATACTATTTTAATACATCATTTCAATTTTTTGCGAGAATCCCCCAAGGCTTCAGTCTGGTAAGAACACTGCAAGTATGGAGAAAACTTCAAACCAGGAGTCCCCTAGACAAAGGAAATCCAAGTCTGAAGTAGCTACAGGATAGATTTTTTTTTAATACTTTGACAACTCAACAAAACAATACCAACTTTGGGCACAGATTACAGTCTTATTACAGTCTTCCAAGCTTCCAATGATCGATGTTGAATCATGCAATGTTTGACACCTATTTACATCAGGTTTTTTCAAGGTGAGTTCAGACTTGATGTAAACAATGGTATTTGTGAAATACAAAAGAAGGTTTTGAAGAAAAAAATTGAAGAACAATTATCAACAAAAGTCAGCTGGAAATTTAATGGACAACTAACTTTGAAAATAAGTGCATTAATTTGAACCAAAACTAAAACATACCAAGTTGGGCAAAAAAAGTTCTGATGGTAAAACAGAAGACATCTGTGACTTTTGAATCAACAGATGATGGAACTTGCAAATGGTTTTCAAAAAACAAAAGAATACATATTCTGGACATATTTATTCTGAGAAAAGTGCTATTTCATTAAATTGGCATGAGTGCACATGATTATGAAAATTCAAATTTTCTTTACATTACAAAGATAACAGGATATAACAAAGAAAATATAGATTTCACTTTTATCACACAATGATAATGCGTCATACCCATAAAAGAGACTTCTCTTTTTTTTATCAAACATACTTTGACAAAAAATTCATAAGCTTATTTCTTTCTAATGAAAGACATTACTTTTTCGTAAAAATATCAGTAGAAAACATCTACTTGCCCTGTTACCTGAAACAGGGTTAATTACTTTTGCTAGGTGATGGTTTCTGCGGTTAACCATTCGTCAGAAGATCTAATACTATATTAAAACACAGGTCCACATGAAAAATGGCAAATGTTACTCAGAGAAAAACAAACACTACACACTACATGCAATTTCAACACAGTTAAAACTGCCACTGCCACCTCTAATTTTGCAAAAACAAAAACCTCATGTTACTCTATGCATTGCAATGATTTTCTTTACAAATTTCCTCACAAATAAGACCACTGTTATGAAAACCCACAAGGCAGAAAAGCTACTAATATTTTGACTATGTACAAGATCATTGACCTTGGATATACTTCCTTTTCTGTGTGGTTTAAAAACTAAAGCAAAAAAAAATGTAGAGCAAAACCATTAACAACTGTAAAAAGCAATCTAACCAGACAATTATTCCAACTCTTAAATATAATTTCATACTGAATTCAATCTAGCAGATGTTGCTCTTATTACTTGCACTCTTTTACTACCTAGCTTGCAAATCTTCTAGACATTTAAAAATGCATGGTATTGGATCATTCTCTCGCATGCTTTTTACAGATTTCTGATCTGCTAGAAATACTGTACACAAACAACTTCATCTAGAACAAAATGGCCAAGAGGTGTGCTGGCAACCAGTGACACATAATTTCATTTCCTTCAGTAATACAACACGTTAATGATTCTGAAAAGATTAAAATGCACAGCAAAGCCTCCAACCAAGACTGACATCAAAAGGATTTTATACAATACTTTAGACTCTCTGTGGTTTTTTAGCCATCCCTGCATTTCCTTTAACATATTACATAGACCTTTTTATCACGGTTTTACAGCCCATCAGCTTTTATCGCAGCCTCAATATATATATGCAGTCAACATTAAATCCCCTTCCCCCCTCCAACAACAACAACAAACATAATGATGGCTTTTGAGAGGGTATCTAAACAATCCTGACATTAACCAAGGCTGAGCTGTTGTAGGGTGACGTGAATTCTAACGAAACAATGGCAATAGTACATTACATTTTTAAGATATCTATACAGGGAATAAATGCAATAAAAACTGCCATACAAACTATATTTGGAAAACAGCTTTAAATAGTACATGTACTTCCTCTTTCCTAAAACAAATTTTTCTGTTCTGCAACTGTTTATCATGAAATCTCCTTGTGTAAACAATGGTGAAGTGGTTTAACCTCTACTGGTTTTTCTGTCGTGATTAACATATAGGAATGCAATGACAACTACAACAGCACAAATCAACTGGTTACTTACCAATATATTGGAGGCGTAGCTACTGTTTATTGCTATTCCTTTACACAACAATTCAACTAGAGTCTGCGGTAGCTCTCCTTGTTTTGGCACGTCTTTGTAATGATTGTCAGCTAAATAACTCTGAACTACAGTCATCCGATTAGTGGTGAGAGTTCCAGTCTTATCAGAGCAGATGGCAGTTGCGTTTCCCATGGTCTCACAAGCATCAAGATGCCGGACTAAGTTATTGTCATCCAACATTTTCTTTACAGAGTAGGCCAATGAAATAGTTACTGCCAGTGGCAGACCCTCTGGAACAGCAACAACTAACACAGTCAGACCAGTAATAAATGCATTGACATAAGCATTCAAATGCTGATTCTGCCAGGAAGCTTTCTCGTTAACATACTTTCTAATGCTGAACTGTAAAACCATCACAATAATTGTCAGGAGAGCGGCACCCACACCAATCCAACCGATACTAACTGCCAGCTTGGTCAACTTCCCCTGAAGTACAGACTTCTCCTGTTTATCTTTTTTATCCTTGCCATTTGTATCAGAATCCTTTTCCTCATCAAGGTTGATCTCCTCAAACTCATCCTGACTGGCTTTTATTGACGGTGACTGGGGTGGCGCTTCCTCTTTGCCATCTGGTTTGTCTCCCTCCTTCTCACCATGTGTTCCTAGTAATGAAAAGATTATTCCTGTCTGGGAATTCACCCCAACTGCGGCAACCACCATCTTACCACTACCTTCCATGACATGCGTGCCAGCCAGTACAAGTGGATCTTTGTCTCCTTTCTTAACAAGATCTGATTCACCAGTCAGAGAACTTTCATCAACTTTTAGGTCGTTACACTGGACAATAACACCATCAGCAGGCAATAAATCACCATATTTCACCTGGCAAAGGTCACCTACCACAATTTCACTGTTAAGTACTTCAATGGGTTCTCCATGTCTCACAACTGTAAACTTGTGCTCACCTTCGATTTTACTTTGCAAGCCACGAAATTGCTGCTCTTTTTGATAATCGTTCACTGCAGTGACTAATGCTACTATGATCACAGCAACGATGATGGCAAATCCATCGATCCATCCGGTGTTGTCTTCTGAACCCTCGCAATCTTCGGGTGCAAATATTCCTAACAAAAGCGATACGATTGCTGCAATCATCAGAATTATAAGAATTGTATCCTTGAGAGCATCGAGAAGAAACTGGAGAAAGGTCTTAGGGGGTTTTGGAGGAATATAATTAGCACCGAACACTTTCTTGCGATTCTCTAAGTCCTCCGGAAAGCCACCAATTCCCCTCTCCGATGATGTGTGCAGCTTATGGATAAGCTTATCCAATCCTCCAAACGTTGAATTTAAGTAATCTCTTGCTTCTTGTCCTCTGTGCTCCATAAGCAAAGTAAGGTCTTTGACAGAAATATCCGAAAAATCAGCGATTGCGATAAAATCCATGGAGTCAGGCGAATGCAACGATTGCTGCTCTTCCTTCCTAATCGCGGCGTCTGCCATGATGAAAACTGATTTACGAAAAGTTAAGCTCTATTTACGTTTAAAATATTATACAGCTCTCGAAATCGAAGACTCGTGGGATATGTCTTCTAATTAAGCTTACAATGGAGTTGTTCGATCGTTCCACCTCGCTTTTCAATAACAGCAGTCGAAAAGCAAAGAGTTTTTGTCCCGGATGCTTCGTCCAAACTAGAATAGCAGGTTACAATGGGCCTCAGCAAAGTCAAGAAATGTCTGCCAAGCAATTCACTAGAAAACGAAACTTACACAAGTTTCTCCCAGACAAATCGACCAGATTCCGGGGAAGTGTGCGTCACTCCTTGTGCTGTGACAGAACAACAGAATGCTGCTTGCTTCAGGCCTGCTGCTCCACTGGCTGTGAAGCACCCCGTTCACATCATTCAGAGTCGATCACGCAGTTTTGACACCTTTCCAGATCGACGAGGATGCAATTTACAACAAGCCAGCAGCTTTCAACGATAACAGAAAGGAGACACCAGCCCAGCGGACGGGAAATCGAGCACGACAGGAAGGCAAACAGCGGCGCAAACTCCCCAAGATTGAGACGTTGAAAGGATACCAATTGTGCTTGTCAAAGTGAACTCAGATCGTTCCTTTGATTCTGTACACTAAAGAACAAACACAGTCAATTCAAGAAAACAATCTACGTTCCCTCCTTTCACGAAGGCTTCTCACAAGCAAAGCAAAGTTGAAACTTGCCTCAGGGCACGTGATGAACAGTTCATGATTGGTCTATTTTGAATCCTCACGAGTTTTGATTGGTTAATCGTCGCTACGTTACAAGGACGTCATTCGCCGGTGAGCCACATTTTGCCGCGCCCAGCGCCCACCAAAATATGACCATGAACTGCATGACTTTTGCATGACTATTATTTGTCAGATTTAAAACTGGATTTCACAGAACATTTAGATAACTTTAACTGAAATGTTACATGTAATACGGCCTTCAAATCAAGGTATCATTCGAATTTACCTATCTTTGTTTTTTGGTCTAGAATGAAAGCCGAGCGGTGCTTTAGGTTGAAAATAATCAAAATATTTATATTACGTCATGGCTAGGATAAGTTCGCTGGCAGTGTAAAAATTATCCCATTTTTCGTAAGCGTATGAGGCCTGTCAGAAGAGTGTTTGCATATTCAAAAAATGTCATCGCTAGTTTACATATTTAACTGATAAATAGCCCTGAAAAGCCAGTACCAAAATTTTAATAGTATGTAAAAAGTTTTGTAGATGTTTTGAAGTCAGAGAAAACATCAGGAAAAGTGTAGCAAAATTGTCAGAGCCTCCAAAAAGATGCCGTAACTGCTTGAAATGTTTTTATTTTCTTGATTTATCATTACAACACCAGAGGAAATATATGTGATTATGGTGATAAATATTATATTAATCTAAAAGCACTGATTTGCTTTGCGGAGGTGCTTCAAGTCTTCGCTGAATGGCTGGTGCTCAATGATCCTGTGACGATTGATCAGTTGCCGAATTTAATAAATGACTTATTTAGACGAATTTAACAACATACTCCAAGTTTCCAGCCTGGGGAAAATGTTTTTTTTTCATTTCATTGCATCATTATCTGTCGCCAACGTTTGGTCAGCGGCTTCTCCCAAAAAAAGTACAATATGGCGGGTGAAAGACTAGTGTTTAAGGAAGTTCTTCCGAAACAAGGCCTTCTCTTCACTGAACAGAGTCCAATGCCGGTTCTTTGCAAACCTAAGATAATGCCCATGAAGTCTGTGACACTTGAAAAGTTGGAAACTATGCAGAAAGAAGCACAAGAGGCTGTGAAACGCCAGGAACAGGAACAGAAATTACAAGGCGCATTCACATAGCAACAGCAAGTTCAAATAAACATCAACCTAACCGGTGAGCTTGACCTTAAAGAAACTGCACGAGTTTATGAATTGCTTCATCTGTGACGTTCATTGGCATCTCAACGAAAACAGAGTGAAGGTCTTGTGAAAATGAAACCTACGATCTTCAGTGGATTTGAAGTAGCTTGAATTTAATATTAGCCTCAAAGGATAAACGTCAAAGCTGCTGCTTTTCCATGAAGCGTGTTTTGAACTTCTACTTCAAAAAACACAATAGTTTTGCACATAGCCCCAAAATTTCTGAGTGGAAATTGTGGCCCAGGTACTTGAGAAATTTATTGCACTTTGAAATGAGATTCCATGTTGTCTTAAGTACATAGTTGTTCGTTGAGCTCAAGTCAGTTGATACGTCATCTAGTAGCAAGAGATCTCTGCAAGGCCATTCAAGCTTTTGAAAAGATAGCCTCTAGTGTGTAAAAAAAAGAAGTAACATTCACATAATATATGATGGTCTTACTTTTCAAGTCTGCATCACAGTTATAATATTGGGAGAAATTCTACTGGTATGCTAATGCAAATACTGCAATCTGATTGGCCTAGCTATTGTAAACAAGCAAAGTGGATCATAAAATGGAGCTTCCTTCTACATATTTTTAGGGGAAGATAGACAGAATTCATCCTCTCATGTGGGTGGGGGGGGAGGGGGGAGAGAAACAGGAACTCAGAACCTCCTGCTTCCAGAACCTTGCTCTCCGGCTTCCACACCTTTATCTCACAACTCCCGCACCTGTCCTGCTCCCATCCCCTGTGAATTAGGAGACTATAAACACATCCTTGTCATTTAGCTGCGTAATCCTGAGGCGTTTCCTTTTCCTTTTTTCCCTTTTGTTTTCAGCCATGCTCCTCTTACTCGTGTCTTTTGGCAGCTTAAGCGACAACATTTCATGACTTATGATGTAACCACAGTGAAAGGGTTTCCAATGTTACCAGAAGTAAGCCTCAATTTTTTAGCCCTAGGGTGAATTTTCAGTTGCTTGTCGGCCCAGAAGTCTCAAAAGATGCTAAATGCAAGTCAAATAACATTTTGAGTTCTCATTTTTGAAAGTATTTGAACACTTAATGAATGACAAAAATTAGCATTTTGCATTTCTCTCCGCAATCTCTCCCTCTTAGAATTGCTGCTTCCCACCCTTTCCTCTCCCATCTACTGCCCCCTATTCTTCCAGGCCCCTGCCCCCTGTCCCCCCACCCCCACATATAGATGTTAGTTAGAAGTGAGAAGGAACAAATAGTTTTTAGGCTGAAAACTGCGGTAAACTATGGCACAGTGATGGTTCTGTTGCTTCCAGTCTGGCTAAGGTTAGCCTAAAACGGGAAGTGGAATGAGAACAGGACACGTGCACCTGTGGACTGTTAGTGTGGTCCTGTGGAACTGAAGTCATACCATGTACATGTAATAAGAATATTATAATTCGTGGACTGAAAGCACATGTATATAGAGTACCAAGTGTGGACTTGTTGAATTGAGAGTAGCAGCTTGTGTGTAATAAGAAGTCTAAGAAGTGTGAACCTAAGGTCACCTACAGGCTCTGGACTGAGGGCATATATGTATGAAGTTCTTATTTTTACCATGCCTATAATTTATACACTTGAGAAATAGTTCACACTATACCCTCACACATAATCAATTTACTCCAGGTGTGTGGATATACTGTGCTCTAGTACCTAAGTACCTTTTCTAGTACCTTTCATGTTCTAAAAAACTGCACAAGCCCTTGAACTTCATTCTCAGGCCAACATTTAATATTTGTTTTTTGCAACAAAATTTCTGGGAAAACTTTAAGCCCATAGGCCCTCAACAGAAACAGTGATCACTGCCTTGTTTATGTAGCTAGATAGAAGTCACTTACATAATGGTGTTTGTTTTGTCGTTTTTTTCAATGTTTCAGAGGAGGATTTAGAAAGATTACTAAATAGTTCAATTTTGGAGGAGATTAAAAGTAAGGAAGTTCTACTGAACTAAGAGGTTATGGACAGTTGATTCCCCCTTTGGTCTCATTAACCATCTCCTCATATTAATCTCCAACTCACAATATAATTGTTTATTATTGTTTCACATTTTACTGAGAACCTTCCATAATTTTGTCTCAATCTTTAAACAGTCAAACCCCCACTAATGGCCACCTCTCTACAATGGCCATCTCTTGACAACAAACACTTCTTTTGTCTCAGCCCATAGTCTACACATTCACTCTTATAACCTCTATACAAGGGCCATCTCTCCACAGTGGCAATGGCCAGTTAAGCATTTCCCAACAGCCAAATTACCTCTTGACATGGGGCAATTAATCAAGGACTGGCAAACAGTGAATATAAAACCTAATCTTTTATTGTAAAAAATCACGAAACTTGAGACCAGGCAAATTTATTGTTACTTTTTGACTTGCACTACAGTGAATTAATATAGGTGTGTTGATAATTTCCTCAGTTGTGAAATGTTATGAAAGCCCAAGCAGAGATCAACCCCAGTATGATATTTGAAAATTATTTCAAATTGCAATCGCCATGAAAGTTTCTGCAATTTTGAGAGACTTTGAAATAGCACTCAGTGTTAATCCTTTATTGCACTTGCATTAATACAATTCATATGAAAAATAAACCCAAAAACGTGACGTTTCGGCGTCAACTTGTTGCCATTATCAAATGCAGATTAAAAAAGGTTCAGTTCAAATATATACTAGCTTAGGTGTTAAAGGAGTCAAGAAAAATGCAAGGAACAATGTCAGCTAATTAAACACTTGCCCGAATGGAGTCCAGTTGTGTGTTTAATTTTGGTCTTTTTTAATCTGCATTAATTTTGATAATGACGACAAGATGACGCCGAAATGTCATTTTTTTGCGTTTATTTTTCTTACAATTGTCCAATTGAATACTAACATGATATTTCCAAGAGGTCTTCATCACTAATAGAAATTAGTGATGTCAGCATTGTTTCTAAAACTTTGAAATGAAGAAGAACTTCTTCACAGATTTCCTGAGAATAAGTTACCTTCAGAGGCAAAAAAACAAACATATTTATGATGGTGACATAAAAAATTTCCTTTGATATTTTTTTAATAACAATATTGTTGCAACAGAGCCATGTGTCCCTGACAGCTCCTGTCTGGTTTGGTAAAAATACAGTCTTCATGTGCACAACCAGAAACTGGTCATGTGCTGTAATAGGCTTGCCACATAATGTATAAATTTAGCCAAGCCTTAGAGTGGAGCTCCTAATTGCAATCATTATACTTTGTAGTCGCCATCTATATTCTCGTTGGCTAAAAGCCTACAGTTAATTTTGGGAAACAGCGCAACCTACAGATTATTCACTAATCTGCTAGCAGATTAATGAATAATCTGTAGGTTGTGTGCAATGCATGGCTTGTCGAAAATCGGTGTGCTAATGCGTTCGTCATTATTTTCTTTAAAACAATTTATAATAAAACAATTATTACATTCGCTTTTTGTGACATCCGAAATAATCAAGGTCTCGGTTAGTAAAAGAGGTAAAAAACGTTCTCTGGTAAAATTGTATAAAGTTCTGAGCTTTGAACAGCCAGTCTGCTGTCTTCGACGGACAAAAATGAAATGATAAAATAGACCTAAAAGTTTTTTAATATAACAAACGGATGGCATATATTAAATAGAATACGTGTGAAAGAATGTGAGAAAGCTAAAAGTGTAAAATTAGTGTTTGTTTAAAAGAATGTTATATTGTCCCGGCAGAGGGCACGAATTGTTGTCGACCTCGACCGTTTTCGCTGTGTGCCAGGATTCCAGCGTCTTTCTAATGCGGCTGTTGCCTTTGTCAATTATCTCAGCATTGTTAAAGTCGATGGTATGAT